TGAGAACACCAAAAAACCGGCCAAAATTTCACAATTGCGCCATAAGAAAACTATGAATGATGATTGAAACGGCCTTTTTTAGAAAATTTTTTTTGCATTTAGAAAAGGGTTTTGAAGATATTCAGAGAAACCCCTACACAATAGACTTGATTAAAAGCTTTCTTTTTTACATTCCGATTTTGAGGTCATTGCTGCAATATTGCTCGCCCCCCTTCATCTTTGGTTGGCTTCTCTTTCCAGTTGGTGACCCCAGTGGGCGGGTCTGTCGGTTTTATTCCCATCGTCTTTTTGGGTCTCCCTCGGGTTACGACCATTTCCCCCCGGGTGTATACATTTTTTTTTCTCTTCATCTGAATTCTTTCAATATCCCCAACCATTTCAGTTATAAAAACCAATCACCAGATTTTAAAGGCTCTCAAAGAAGGATGTTCCAATAATAGATGAAAAAAAAAAATGCTTGAAACTCCCATTGAGAAAAATGTCTTCTTCGGAATTTCCCCGGGTCAAAATCCCAAGACTGCTCGACACTGTAAAAAATTTTTCTCGGTCAGACTCAAAAAATTTCTTGAGAACCATATGAACACTTCATTTTCTAATTAAAACCCCCGGGATTGAAAAGAAATTTTTGAACAAACAACAACAACAAGCAATACTATCTTATTACACTATCTACTTACTACAAACTATATACCACCCCCACTCCAGATGAGAGGCTGGACGAACGGTTAGAACACTTGGATCTCATACGGGAGACCTTGGTTCGAATCCTCAGTAAGGCTAGGGATTTTTTTTTTCTGTAGGAAGCTAAATAAAAATGTCACCTGCACAGTCCGTGGCGACAGCACTAGTCATGCGACCCTAAATCCTCAGGCTCAAATGCACTCTTGCCATCACCGGAAAAGTGGTCTAATAAAGGCAGCAACGGACCGTTTTCAGCAATCGACAGTTCAAGCTGCGATATCTACGCCTTTCATCCCAACACATCCGATTTTAGAAAATATCTGATTCGACGTCTTTTACGACATGTTTCAAGGGAGCAATCGGTCTATTCCCACTTCGAATCTCCACCCAATGGGCCCCGGAACACACTCGGGGACATTTGTGTATATGATTTAAATTTAAATTAACATTCAGTCCTCTGTCAGTTAGGGACTGTCAGATGTTGTCTTCCCAGCAGACCCTGGGTCGCCCTGGAGGTCTGGTTCCCATGCTTGCCGTTGTGGCCGATTTTTTCCCCTTCTGCATACATGTCCACGAGTTATATAACTGTCCTAAATAAACAGTTACACAATATATGTTCTGAATGTGTTCTGTATCCGCATCTGCAGGTTCTGTTTCTGCTAAGAGCCATCTACAGGCGGCACAATGTTTACTGTCTAACTGTGGATCTGGACACGGGACCGGCTTTCATCAACGCAGTCAGGAGCGTGGCTGCGTGCTTGCCTAACGTGTTCCTCTCTACAAAGTTGGAGTCGATCGTTTACGCTGGTTTCAGCAGGTTTCTGGCAGATATCAACTGTATGCAGGATTTGATCGCACATCCTGTGGGATGGAAGTACCTGCACAACCTGCCCGGGCAACAGTTTCCTCTGAGGTTTGAACTTGTTTCTATACAATGTTAAATGTTGAATCAAGAATCGACATGACAGCACTCGGGATACTTCCATAAGCGCTCCGTCCCCATCTTCAGCAGCAGGCGAAGAGTTAAAATTCCGATGGTACCAGTAACTGTCTGATTGTATATCCGTCTCGCCTTTCCCCTGAGTTTCGAGCATCACCCAGATAGCCTTGTAAATCCTCGCAGCGCCATTCTCCTCAGACCGTAATGATCTATCTCTTCTTCGGCACTGTTCACTCGCTCTCAAAGGGCTCTCACAACATCCAGCTTGTCATACATCAGTTTACCACCAACTGGTGCAGAACCGGCTAGTCCTTCTGCCTGCTCATTTCCTAACACACCGGAACGACCTGGAGAAAACATATATACGTCCCTGTTTAAATAGCCATTCATTATACTATAGAAAATATCACCAGGACTGGATCTAGACCTATTGAGGCCCTAATCTGCATAAAGCACCGAGACCCGTTTTAAATTACACTAAATTATCTTGACATGTTATATATATATATATATTAAAAGCCTTTGATAACCTGACTAAAATAATAAGGACATTCTACAATTTCTGGGAGTGGGGGTGGAAGGGGGAGACAATTAAAATATATTACTCGTGAAAAAAAATTGCATTTTTTCTTCTTCTTCTTCTTCTTCTTCTTCTTCTTCTTCTTCTTCTTCTTCTTCTTCTTCTTCTTCTTCTTCTTCTTCTTCTTCTCCTTCTTCTACTTCTTCTTCTTCTTTTTCTTTTTCTTCTTCGTCATTTCTTCTTCTCCTATTCTTTTTCATAAATGATCAGTTTTATCATTACCATGTATTCTAACGCTTTCAGTCCCTGAAAATGTCGAAGCAGGTATACAGCGACTGAAATAACTGGGAAGATATGAAAGTTTCGACTGCAATTTTTTTCCTGCCCTTTTGGGAGGCGGTTGTCGTTGGTAGTCGGTGGCTAAGTTTTGAAAGTAAGATGATACATTACACGATGATAGTTTTGTTTCTCGGAACATAAAAAACTTCGGCCATAATTAACGCCAAAGTAGTTTGAAGAGAAGTGTAATGAAAGTATAGTCCCTAGAAAAAGAGAAGAGAAAAGGTTAGGGGAGGGGGGTTGTTGACCTGACAGAAATCAAGGCATGACAGCTCACGGAGCTGTACAAATTACAGGGTACCGGTTGGATTTCCGGCTTGTAATGATGAGAGCGATGCTGTGAAAAGATCCGGTTAATTCATAATGACCGGTACTATTACTGTGCTCTAAAATGAGAAGCTTTTAACAAAAATGCTTCAGAAAATAAAAATTCTTAGAATACCATGGACCGCGAGGAAGAAAAACCTCGACATCCTGCATGGCCGGAACATGAAGGAGAACTGGCATATCAAGTGCGCCCTGTCCGAAAGTTGAGGTATTTTGACTATAAAAACGGCGAAGGAGGTTACACTTTCTGGAAAACGAGGCAGAAGCCGACCTCTGCGAATGTGGATACATGGCATTGAAGATGCACTGGTTACGAAAGCACACCTGGCTGGAGATTTGGCTAGAGAAAGAGAGACTATCAGGCGTGCCGTTAAGAGAACGACGTCCTATAAAGAATATGCTGATTGATTTATCGATTATTACTGTACTTTACTTTCATATTTTTTTGATTCTCGAACACTTACCTTATTTTAATCTCTCTTCTTGATTTTAATATTTTTAGGACGAATTTAGAGATTGTCAACATTTTGAAAATCTACAATGGCGCCAATGACATCCTTGGGTTGCCAGGCAAGAAGTCACTACCTCGGCGTTATAAAAACAAGCATCGCATTGTATATAACAATATCACAGGCAAGACACATTTAAGTCCATGTTTTTGTTGTGTCTGCTGACTAACCGCCTGTTATTTGTGCCTTATACACATTAAGTCTCTCCTGGGGATCCTTATCTTCAGCGATCTCTGGTGTGAGCGAATTCCACTGTTGGTCATAAACTGGCATATCCATCTCAAGGTCTCTTGGGTGTGCCCAAAGTTTAGTTGCCAGGTGTACTGGGTGTAGCATAATCTCTGGTTATGCGGTTAATATACTGCTGGTTATAAACTGGGATGTCATCACAAATACTCTTAGGTTTTGCCAGAGTTTAGTTGCCAGGTCTATTTGGCGTGGCTAAATGTTTACTGGACAGTTAGATAATTTTAAATAATGCGGAAACAAATGATACAGTGCACAATTTATTACCAGGCATATTTCGCTGTATCTCGTTAGGTAAGTTACTACAAAGCTACATCAACATAAAATGAAGCACACAAACTGAATAAATCCAACTGAAATGCGAATAGTTTCTTTTGACACATCGTGGTGTGTTTTGGCCCACAGTAGACACGTGATTTACCAGGGTAACTATCGATTTACTATAAATTCAGTCTGCTTACAAAGAAGGGGGTTGTTGATTTTAATTGTCAAAGCTTTGGCCATTCTCATCAGTCGCCTGTTTGGAAAGCACTGTCTGTGTCAATTACGTGTCCGGAATTAAGTAGATGACGTCCTATGGAAGAATTAGGTTCTTTCCTCTTGACTGGTCTCGACATCCTTGAAGAATCACTGATCTATTTGTGAAGCTATTTGTGTATGTGCTCTGCCTCTCTATTTCTAAGCTGTCTCTCCGTTCGACCGATGTAAGTCAACTGGCACTTACATGTAAATTGGTAAATACAATTGGATTTGGTGTGTGGAGAAATGAGTTGTTTAATAGGATTAGTGAAAACTTATTTGGAAGTGGCGGAAAGGTGATTTTACAGATACATGACGAGAATACCCTGGGCTAACAGAGAGAGTGGTGAAAATGTACTGAAAGAAACTGACTCACGAAGAGAACTGATTGCCCACATCAGAAGCAGACAATCTACAATCTAAATTCTTTAGTCATGTCATGAGAAGGAGAAGCTTGGGTTAAGGAGGAAAATAGTTTTTCAGAGTTGACTGAAAGTGCATGAGACAGAAGGTTGTGGGCGGACATGACTACCGGCGCCACAGGTCGTGGACTTTAGGAAAAATGTAGAAGTGATTATGTTAAACTATGGTTGTTGTGTTCTCTGCTTGCTTTCTTCCTTTTCTTTTTCATTCGTCCTGTAATATTTGTCACACCTCTTATTGGTCATATATGTGTCGAAATCTCACGTTTCTCCCTTCTAATGATGCAAATATTGTGTGGGACTTAACCCATAAAGTACAATGTTGTGTCGGCAACTACATATGTTCTAGCGGTAAAGCTTGGAGGAGATCAAGAAATAGGTGAATAGCAGCTACCAAATGGAAACAACATCAACACATTAGCAACAAATTTCAGTCGAACTTGTAGCTCATAGTTTGAAAACATTTAATTTCTTTCTAGAAATGGTGTACACTGGTGAAAGAAACGATTTTTATTGTACATTGCACCTGGTTTTATCTCGTATGACAGTCTTTGGCCGCATATTGAGTAGTCGCCCAGCTATTGTGTTTAACAAGGCACCAACTAAGTAGCCCCAGCGGCGATACCCAGACGACTTCAAAATACCACATGCAAACTGAAGGGTGTGATCCTAAATCTAACCCATAACGTTCAGAGAACAACGCAAGCGCCTTAACCACTTGGCCACGCTGACTTTTTTAAACCCCTCACTACTGTTAATGGCCAGTGTGGGTCACAGTGACGTCTAAAATGAGGACATATAAGAGACAAATGTTCACTGAAATCGGTGTAAATCATAGAGTGTCATCATCTTTATTATTGCCATATTAGGCTAAAGCACCACTCTGGCTTTTGCAGGGGGCCCTGAATATAGAAATATGTTTCTGGGACCTCTCCACGGTTGATCCTCATCCGCATGGTGGCACTTTTTGTCATCAGGTGTTTATCGCTTGTATGATACCCTGGTGGGATACAACAAGTGAGAGAGAGAGAGAGAGAGAGAGAGAGAGAGAGAGAGAGAGAGAGAGAGAGAGAGAGAGAGAGAGAGAGAGAGATCTTAGGCTGAATTACTAATTAGTGTTAATGTTCGCATTCTCTCCCCTCATCTGTGGTATGCTGTAGTTTGCCAGGAGTATTCTTATCTGGTCTTTCTCTCTTTTCCCTACCTCAAGTAATCCACGTAACAATTATACAACGTCTTTGAAGCGGGGCGTTGGTCTACTATCATCCGTAGATAATAATCGCTTCTTTCGGTTCCTGACCAGAAAGCTGTCACTTTAAAGAATCACCTGAAGTGGATACACACTTGTGCATATACTGTACATATTACAGGAGTTATGTTATAACAATCGACGTTGCTGCACATTGGGCATTCCCATGCGTGATCAGTTCCTTGACGCAGCAGCCACCCCTTCCCTACCCCAAGGTACCTCTGCTGACTGTTCCCATGAGTAGTTGCTTACAATTTCTCCTGTCATGACCTCGAAGGCGACACCGACGTGCTTTACCAGGTTTCATTCCGAGTACATGTAAAATGTTTCCGGTTTGGGCCAAGATGGCATGACTAGTTTGGCTTAAGAGTGGTGATCGATGACCCGACAACCAGTCATCGTAAAACATCCTTTGTTTTAGAATCAGATTTCTATCTCTCAATGATGTGATGCTTCGTTCAAACTTGTTAATCTCCAAGGACATCTTCAAAATTGGTTATTACAACGTTAGAACTATGATGCAGGTAGGGAAAACAACTCCATGCACTCAGAATGGATAAGTTCAGACTTCCCCATCAAGCCCTCATGTGGACACCGGAAGGGAAATGAATACGGGGAAGATCAAGAGAGAGACTGAGTAGAACCTTCATCAGGAAAGGCTCAACTATGGA